AGAGAGAGAAGGGGAGGGGGTGGGGGAGGAGAAACGAACAATGACTGTTGAATGAAATATTAATTCGACCTTGGTCTCTGTCTCTCTGTCGTGAACAAAGAAGTAAAAGTGGGGTGCCAGTGTCGTTAATCAGAATGACACGTTCGATCAGTGGAAAGTTCAAGAGAGGTTTATTCGCACAATATCCATTCTTGTCAAATCAGTGCGTATTAAAGGCGATGACAGCAGCGGCAAAATCGAGTGAGTCCTAAAACAAGTTTCGGAAACTGCAGAGTGTGACACTGGCTAATAGTAATAGTTATTTAATAGGTCAGTTTTAATAAGAGTTTTACTGCACTTGCCAAAAAAAACAAAAAAACCCACATAAAAATAGGTCATATAAATGCCCAAAAGGTCTTACTAGTTAGTTATATTTTTTAAAAATCATTTCATATGCATGACAACACTGCTTGGAAGAGTAAGAATGTACGTTCAAGAGAGCACAGCTCAAGACATTGGAACCTTTTGTCAATGAAAGCTTGTGAGTCGCCGCTTTGCACCTGGTCCCTGTATTGCATTTTGACTAACCAACAAACACTCCCCCCCCCCCCAAACCCCAACTGGTTAACTGGTTACCCTATAGCGTAGTCGTCGATGCTGTCGTTCACACATTACGGCAGCTGTTTCAAGTGTCGATCCCGTTGCAATTCTTACTATTTCCGTATTATTGTTGCTGTTTCAGTTGTGACATTGTTGTGTATATTTCTCACTCTTGCAGCCAGTGTAGCAGAACTGAACGTATGTTCTGTGTCTGTATGTATGTATGTAGTATAGGGTTTTATGGCGCTCGCAACTTGTTCTGTGTCTATCCCGGGACTAACAATCCACAGGAACTAATATCTTTTTGCCTTGTAGGTTATCCTGAGTCCATCAGCAGAGGAAGTGGAAAGATAAGGACGGTACTTGTTCGATAGGAAAGAGGATGAGCAAACCACAGCAGAGAGCCCGGCAAACATCCACACGCAGAGGTCACAACTGTACTACTCACCCGTAAAGGTACACAGGGTAATAATATTCTTTGTTGTTGTTGTTGATTTTTTTCAAGGTGTACAATACTTGTTTCTAAGTCCTCAACTTTTGAGTACCCACCTGAAGCTGTGAGCGAGAGCGAGTCAAATCCTCCCTACTCAGGGGCAGCCTTTCAGCTGCCACACCATTTTCTTTGGCCTTGCTCTTCTTCTTCTTCTTCTTGCGCGGCGAACAGCAGCTAAACATGACTGTGGCGAAACGCTCCGGACAGCGACCAAGCTGCTGGACACTGGATTACTAAACACTACCACGGCTTACAAAACTGTCTGACATATCCTCTGGAAAGGGTCGAACAGATCAACCCCCCACAACTCTCAGGCAGTTATTAATCCAAAACCGAATCACTGAACAGGAAGGCAACAGGCGTAATCCAATAAGTAATCCAAGACAGGGCCGTTTTTATAACTTATCCACATGCATTGTGCGTACGATAGCACACACCTTTATATTACTCAAATAAAAAAATCCAGCACTGTAAAAATTCCTACTGGAACATGTGTGCTTCCACCTCGAAAGTAGCTTCCCTCCCGAAAACAGTCAGAGGCCAAACATCGACATCTCAGTAAAAATGCAGGACCTTAAAACTTGTCGAAAGTCGGAGCAGCAACAACTGGACAAACAGACAAGAAACACAATATAACACAACTGACAAACCAATCAACACTCGAGGTACGAAATTTCAATTGCAAAACTCTCAACGCACAGCACACCTACATACGACAACATTTGCAGCAACGCATAACAAATGTCACTCCCAACTCGTTACCGAGCCTTGAACACTGCACAAAGATTGATCCATCAGTATCGAATCGAACACTGTAATTCTCAAAGCTGATGAACAGGAGAGACCACAGGCCATACAATAAACTCTATACTAGCAACTGCACATGCTGTCAGTGCGAAGAGCACGCACGTCACACGAGAGTTAACCTCAATCCACACAGGAACGGTCACATTTGAATGACAAAAGCCAAGTGACAGAGAGATGGAGTGCGACGCTCGTCGATCCGAGCGGAGGCAGGTTCCAGAATTTAATTAGTTCATGACAGTAAATCTTGAGTCGCGGCACAGCAAACAAGTTTTTAGCATACGTGCTGATCTGCTTTCATTATTATACCCCAATTAAGTGCGTAATCAACGAGTCTACGCCATGCCGTTTGGAGAAGCGCGAAGTACGGTTTGTGTTTATCAACAAACTCTTATCGGCGCAGAGGAAATAGAACGACGCGCCCACGCTAGTGCGTGCGCGCGCGCGTTTGTCTGTGTGTGAGTTTGTGTGAGTGTGTGTGTGTGTGTGTGTGTGTGTGTGT